GGCTGGGGCGGCAGGGGGTGCAGGTGGCGGGGGAGAGAGAGCATCCAGGGCTGGGGTGGGGGGCAGCCAAACATTTTTTTGCTTGGAGGCGGCAAAAAACCTAGAGCCGGCCCTGGCATGCACAATGTGGCTGAGTTAATGTTACTGTTGCCGCCTTAGCATTGTATTTCCTGACCTTTTATTTTTCAAAGTGTGCATCCTTTATGTTGCTTTAGATGGAAATTATACACACAGTACATATATGTGCTCAACTCACTCTGGCGGGAATGGTGGGGTAACTGCATACACCTACATGCACTCTGCACTAGTGGGGGCACCGACCCCCCCGCAACTCCCACTACATAGGGGAGGGCACCGTGACACTGAGTTTAGCACGCTATAGAATTGCCGCTGGCTGAAGCTGTGTGGGGAATGCATTGAATTAGCACATCCACCACATTCCCTGGTCCTCCCCTGCTGGGCATGCTCACTGTCTGGGCTGTGCTTAGTAGTTTGCCTATTGGTGTCCTATGCTACTGTGCCCCCCCCCCACTCCCCTCACTGGCGCTGAATAGAGCTGTGCAGGTGTTGGTGTGTGAGTAAGCAGGGACTGTTTGAATGGCTAAGGTTGCAAGGTGTCTAGTGTAGAAACGGAGTTTATAAGGGAATCAGACGAGCAGGGAAGCCTTATACTGCCAGTGAATTGTGTAACTGCACGTACAGGAGCTGCAGCGCTGGGGGAGCCATAGAGAGACTTTCCTGGGCAGGCAGGACATGAAAGATGAGCTGAAGCTGCTTTCACTAGCCAGTGGTGTAAATCCTACAATCAGGGAAATTGCTTCTATTGCTAAAAATTGTGGTGGTGAAGTCCATTTATTTTTCATTTTTCTTGTGCTCTCGCGACCCCCTGGCACGAATCACTGTCTGCATGTCGATTAAATTTACACCAGACATTATCTTTCATGGCTCTAGTGCACGTATGTAAACTGTGCTTTTGGCCACTGCAATTCCGTAGCTCAGTGGTTTGCCCGTTGGTTGCGGATTGGACTGCACTCATCTCCAGGAAATCAGTCCTTTGCTAAGAAAATGCTCTGCATCGGCATCATTTGTGATGTTCATGCGTGCCTCACCATGGGAATGAAAGCACGCTCTGTTACTACCTAGTGCTCAAGATCAGAAAGAAGGGGAGGAATGAGTCACCCCATCAAGAGCCAGTCATTCATTGGAGCCAGTCATTGGATCAAGTCTCTTTTTTCACCCCCTTCAGGAAACATGATGGTTTCTCCACTGGTTATTTATATGTTTGATTTTTTAAAATGGTATCATAGCTATGTGCACCTGAGGCAATTCCATCTAGTGGGTAAGGCATTGGCCTAAGCATCTGGAGACTTGGCTACTAACCTGCTGTGCAACCTTAGACAAGTCACTGTTCTGTGCCTCAGTTTCCCCTTTGTCAGTGTTGTCTATTTAGATTGTAAGGTCTTTGAGGGCACGGACTGTCTTTTGCTATGTGTATGTACAGCACCTGGCACACCAGGCCCGGTCTCATTTGGGGCAGCTGTAAATGCTACTGCAGTACTAATATATAATACATGTGACAGTAAACAAGATCAAGTTCAACCCTGCCATCAGACAAGCCATTGGGCTGTCCTCCTGCTCCTGGTGGTTGTCTCAGAAGCTATAGTGCTATAACTACAGAGTTGGCTAGTTTTGTGAGTAAGATCTGGCCTCAGAGGGCCCGGTTCCCATCGCACTTGTTGTATCAACTGGGCGTAACTCCAGGGAAGTCGGTTGTGTCGGTGTCAGACTGGTATGTGAGGTCAGAATCAAGCCCAGGGTATTTAATGATAGATGTTGTGAAACCTACAACAGATGTGGTGTTTTTAAACATGGGTAACAAGCTGGATTTAAACAATAGGCTGTATCCATATGCTCACTCCAACCTAGACAGCCTCCCCCACTCAGGCACCCCAGCACATTTAGTCAAATGCACACAGTGAGCTGAACACATACATACCTTTAGAGACCCCCCACCCCATACAGACACATTCAGCTGCACCACCCCAGGCAGCCACAAACCCACTTGCACACTGTCAGACCCAGCTGCCCGGGTGCAAGCTGTCAGTTGCACACTGAGGCACACACTTGCTTTGGCGCACGCTCACAGTGATACTCTCAGGCACACCCACGCTGGCACAGATCCCCTTGCTCAGATGCACACACGTGAAGACACTCCCCGCAGGGCACAGTCACTGGCCCAGACACACTCACGCGGCCTGAGACTCACGTTTGTGTGGCAGATGCACTCTGCCAGGTGTCATTGCAGTGTAACAGCCCTATCATGCTGAATTAATCTGGGATTCATCATGCTAGCCATGCGCGTAATGAATTTATTTGGTATTAATGTGGATGAAATATGTACTGTCCTTGCAGGGGAAATCGCACTGCCTATAAGCATTAGTTAAAAGGACCATTAAAATCAAACCTTCCTCAGATCCATTAGGCCAGTCTTTCATGCTGAAGAAGATAGAGCCTTACTGTGTGAAATGTCATGCATAATTAGGTTGATTGCAGTTTTAAACTCTGCCCCTTCTTTCCCACCCCCTTCCCAGGCTCCCTCCACTGAGCACTCCCCTGCTGCTGAGATCTCTCCCGAGCTAGTTGGCGCATTATTCCTCACTGTTGCTCCATCCGTGTCAGAGCTGCCACTTATTCTACTTTCAGGCGTTTTGGTACGAAATGCACGGCCTGTCAGCAAGGAATCCCCCCTACCCAGGTGGTACGGAAAGCCCAGGACTTTGTCTATCACCTGCACTGCTTTGCCTGTATCATCTGCAACCGCCAGCTGGCCACAGGCGATGAATTCTACCTCATGGAAGATGGGCGCCTGGTGTGCAAGGAGGACTATGAGACAGCCAAGCAGAACGGTAGGTGCTGAGCTCACCACGGAGAAGGGAAGGGGTCACGCCTAACAGGTGACACTGGGAATTCTACCACTGCAGGGTGGTCTGAGCCGGGATTATGGTTCAGCTGATTTTAGAGATTGGGGACATCTGCCAAATTCAGGGTCACATGAGGGTGTGTTTGGATGAAGATTTTGACAGTTGGTTTGTCTATGACAGGGGTCGGCAACCTTTCAGAAGTGCTGTGCCGAGTCTTCATTTATTCACTCTGATTTAAGGTTTCGGTGCCAGTAATACATTTTAATGCTTTTAGAAGGTCTCTTTCTATAAGTCTATAATACATAACTAAACTATTGTTGTATGTAAAGTAAATAAGGTTTTTAAAATGTTTAAGAAGCTTCATTTAAAATTAAATTAAAATGCAGAGCCCCCCGGAGCGGTGGCCAGGACCCGGGCAATGTGATTGCCGCCGAAAAACAGTTCGCGTGCCGCCTTCGGCACACGTGCCATAGGTTGCCTACCCCTGGTCTATGATGTTTAGGATTTTAAGGGGCCCCACTAGGGTCTGTTATTGAGTTAAGGAACTGTGGAATGTGGATCCAGATTCTGAACTGTATCCAGCTCCCAATTCTGTGGGGATGTTTGGTTCTGGGGCTGAACTTCAGGCTCTCATCTGGTTTTACTGTAAAATAATTTGCTTATTCCCTGGTTCAGCAATGCACTTAAGCATGGGCCTAACTTTAAGACACAAACAGTCGCTTTGACATCAGTTGGGCCACTCACATGCATAAAGCTATACACGTGTCTAAGCCCTGTACAGCTAAATCAGGGCTCCGAGCCTCTTTTTCCTTGGATTCCTCTCCCTCCCATTTTTTTGTAACTGGGAACATTTGCAAGTAAACAGGATCTGTGTATCTTTAAGTTCCTGCTGTCTGTTGCCCACCTGAAATTCTAATCCTGCCGTGGCAATGACAGTCAGGTCAAAAGGATTATAAACTCCGGTGCAGTATGGACAGCTGTTGGAGCTTGACTCTTAGAAAATAAAGATCCTGTTTGCATGGGAATGCACATAGGGCCAGACTTTTAAAGGTTTTTAGGTGCTTAGAGATGCTGATTGGTGTCTAATATGGAAAGCATCATGCCACCTTGAGCTGCACTCTGGTCACATCTCCTGAACTAAACAGGGCTAGGCCTGATGAGTATTTTGAGAGGAGACCTTCAGGGAAAATCTAAATCTTGTAGCAAGTGGTGGTGATGGGTGAGGAGCTGGTACAACTTCCTCTGGTTTGTTAAATAGAACCAACCCCCAGCACGGTGGTAGGAGGCACTGTGTGGCTGGTGGTGCTGTCTGTTGGATAAGATGCATCGGGGTCTTCACTATGTCTGGCCATTAAAGATGCAATGAGACTTTTGCAAGGGCAAAGGGTGTTAGCGCAGGGGTCCTGGCCAAAACTCCAATGTGAGGTAATCCCCTCTCACCTTAAATTCTCCTTGTCGGAGAATTGGCAAGGGAATGTGGTTCGTTTCCTGCCCCCAAGACACTTCTCTGTTGTGCATTGCTAAACAGTGCTGCATTTCTTCATTGCTTGGTGAAGTGACTCTTTAGATACAAGGCCAAACCCTGCCTGTTCGCTACTCCCAGTGAGGTTGCCTGGGTTGGGTGTAACCCTGGGGAGAATTTGCTCCTTTGTTTGTAAAGCACGTTGAGGTCCTTTGGAAGGAACGGCGCTGTCACCAATGTTAGTAAAATAAGATAATCATTAAGTAAGACCCCAAATTTCCCTCCCCCTAGAAGCGAGTGACCTCTCAAGGGCACAGCTGTAGTACGTTGGCAGAACAATGCAGAGAAGCTTAACATTGAGAGGACAGTCCTAGGTTTGAACCACAGGGACAGCATTGATAGCACAAACCAAATTCAGCTGGGCTGTAGGCAGGCGCAGCGCCACCCAAGGCAATGGCCTTGCACCTTACACTAGAGCTGAATTTGGCCCTAAGTTCCCATTTATCCATGTGAACCAAACAGGGCTCTAAAGAGCCAGTGGAGGTGAAAAACAAGGCTAGGGGAGGGAGGGTGAGAGAGAGACTATAGATCACAAAACAGTAATGAATCCACAGAGACGTCCCAACGGTGCCTGACTGAAATTAAAACTGAACTGGTCTTTAATGGATTTCATGTTGACAAGCCCTGACTTCTCATTAATTAAGGACTCTATTTTGACCTAATCAATTTGGTTAGGGTGATGCAATGCCTACTTGTACTGGACGGGGGGCCATGAATGTAATATTACTCAGATTCCATTACTGACTCCCCAAGCTAGCGATGGCCTTGGTGTCACGGTGTTTGACAGCCTAATAGCCAGTAGGAAAGAGAGAGAGACAGGCACAAAGTTTCCTGTCCAAGAGACAGGTGCCACTGTGCTGATTTCAGTGGGATTTCACCTGTGAATCTGAGAGGACTTGGGTCGTGTGGGTGGAGCCAGAGCTGTACATGGTTCCAAGTAAAGGACATTTTAGGCAAGACCCTTGTTCTGTGCTGGTCTCAGCCAATGCGGATCCACACACTGCTGCCATATAGCTTTATGGTCAAAACCAAACATGGCCCCTCCCAGCTTGCAGTATTATTTCTGAAGGCCTCCGTGGCATTCGTCTGGAAAAACGAATGCCAGCCAGAACCTGTTTTGGCCACTAAGGGGTAACCTGTCAGCTAGGAAAATGTCATTGCTACCAAGTTAGACACACATCTGGTGGGCATCACTGGGGCGGATAGAGATGTTGGAAGTGGTGCAGTTTTTCTGTCATGTAATGTTTAAATGTTATCGGGCATCCAATCTGAACAAATCAGAAAATCACCAAAAGGGTCCTAGCTCATAGAAATATAGTTTAATTTTGACCAAAATTGGCAGAAAGTTTCTAAATACAACTGATCATGCAATGATACACTCAGACGAGTACTGTTTGGGAAAGTTCGGGAAATATTTCGCCCTAGCTGATATATTTTATCCTTTTTCCTGTACTTTTTTGCTTTCAGTTAAAGCAAAAGTCTGTAGTCACAGGACAGTATGAGCTTGTTTATATCATGTAATACATCAAAATATTTGTCATTATGTGTAGCATGTACTGATTTGAGAAAAGGTTTTCTGTCTGCTATTTTTATGAAGTTATGCAGATAATGAGACCTCTACCCCCTAATTATAAAACATATTTTTTGATGTTCTCTGTTTGGTTAGAGCCATAATTCTAACACACACACGGCATAACTGTAATTATCTTCTTACTATCACTGACTACAATGACAATATATGTAAACTACTTCTAGAACAGTAATGACTTAGTAGAAGGGCTGTTGAATGTCTTGTATGAATATATTATGTGAATACCAAAGTATAACCATGTATTCTTATGTGACCCCCTACATGACCTATGGAATGTGTAATGCAACACCCCTTTGCGTTACCTTTATTCACAGAAATAGTCACAGTGATTTGTACATATTTGACCCATTTCTATTCCCCCTCAGAATCTGTGTCTGAAGTGTCCAATACTCTGTTGCTGGACTTGTCACTGTCACTGTTGCATGCATCAGAGCACACCAGCTCTTCCCGGTGGCATTTGTATCACCTTGTTGCACAAGTACTTTCACAACTACACAGCACAAAAGTGAGCAGGTAGCAGTATCATTTGAGAAACAAGGTGTCCGTACTACCACCCATCCAGCATTGGCAGAGGACACTTGAAGATACCGAACTGTTGCATGATTCCCTGTGTGTGACTGATAATTTCAGGTGCGGCCTGAAGGAGGCCAATGTTGATGACACTTTTCATAGAATCATAGAAGTGTAGGACTGGAAAGGACCCTGAAAGGTCATTGAGTCCAGTCCCCTGCCTTCACAGCAGGACCAAGTACTGTCCCTGACAGATTTTTGCCCCAGATCCCTAAATGGCCCCAGATCCCTAAATGGTTTTTTGTAACAAACAATGCGTAGCACATGTTCTCCAGAGATGCTCGCTGGTTGTGCCACAGTACAATAAAGAGACCAGTGAGCCATAGGCTGCTGAATCAGAAAAAGCTGCAGTTATCTGCCTTCAAATCTTGTTAGCGATACTGACCAAGACCTGCTTGATTCAGCTACTGCTGGATTCTTCATTAACTCTCAGGTTAGGTCGGGTCTGTCCATGCCATGAATTCGAAGTAATGGTCCTAATTTATAACACCATTCTGTCTTCTAGACTTCTCGTATCATTGTGAGTATTTCTGCTCGTAGACTCATAGACTCAAGGTCAGAAGGGGCCATTATGATCATCTAGTCTGACCTCCTGCACAACGCAGGCCACAGAATCTCACCCACCCACTCCTGTAACAAACCTCTAACCTATGTCTGAGTTATTGAAGTCCTCAAATTGTGCTCTTTGCCCTCCACACTGTAGGTAATGGACACAAGCTTATAAAGGATGGACACACCACACCTGAGATTTCACACCTGTTCTTAAACTGGGAAGAAACCACTTTTCTTTTGCACAAATCTAGGGGGGGGGGAATGAGCAGAATCCCCACAGAATGTGTCTGAGTCGCCTTCCTCTGATCTGACCAACACACAGCTCCAACCCCAACACTCTCAGCATTATTAGACTCAAAGTGGTGCTGCTGTGAGCCAGACCTAGAATGCCACCAGGCACAAGACACACCAAGGCTGCAGTAGCACGTCTATTTAAAGTGCTCTAACAGCCAGTTAGGTTGACTTGGATGGTTGTAGGCTCCTAGAAGGCCTTGGCTACCAATACTAGTGCAAATTTGGGATTATAGTCAAGTAGCCCTGAGGTACAGCTCCCTTCCTCTCCTAGCAAATGACCTGTGTTTAATTTTAAAGTGCTCCAAAATACAAATGCAGTGCCAGATTGGCTTGAGCACTGATATGCCAGCTGAAGACCTAGAATAGGGTACAATTTTTTGGGGGTGGTTCTGGTGACCGGCGCCTGCCTGACCTGTTATTTTCAATGGGGCAAGTTATGGAACTCCAGCAGTGTTG